TATTTTGGGTCAGGACGAGGGTAAGAGGGACTGTGACCGTATACTGTACAGAAGACATTCACACAGAATTTGGATAGCGTTTTTATTTCAGGCGAGTCGTGAGATCAGATACTATGAGATGGACAAAGCTGTAGCAAAATGAATAGAAGGAAAATTCCAATATCGTAAAAGTACCCTGTGAAATAGAAGCGTCAACAGAGATGAACGAAACCCGTTGGTCCATATCAGCTTCTGCAAGAGAAAAAGATGGCAATTTTAAAAGAGATTTTGGCTTTTCTTTGCCATCTAATTCTAGTCCCTTTAATACAGTTCAAGGATTCAAAAAACATGCAGTTTGGACATATTGAGAATCATTTGAAAGATAATGTCCTCCCTGAGGCGAAACGTTATGATATTCTATGACTTTTCTTATCTATTTCCATTGCAATGATAAGAAAAAGGCAGCTACCTTTGATTATTTTCATTGTTGATTAATCTGATTTCCTCGATTGAAGGATTTATTCTTGGCCGATAAAAGTAGCAAATTGTCACCACAAATGTACCTTTGATTAGATGTTGCAAGTGTTGAAAATAATGCAATAATTACCCCAAATTAAGAATAGGAAAAAAACAATGTATGTGCGTGCATTCTTAGCCAATAAAGCTTACTGGGATTTGCCCAATGAAAAGCTGTAACAATGCAGAGAACTCAAGGTCTTAGCGGACTGCTTTTTGTACTGGAAGCGCGTCCTTTGTCGCCACATGAGACGCTTGTGACCCTGTTGCTGAGTCACCATGGCAACACATGATACTGAGGATAAAAAAAAAATCAAAAAAAATCAGTGGTTTCTGAGCATTATATCAGAGCTTTATGTATTAGAAGTTTTATAACGATTTAAACTATTACCGGTCCTTGATAACCGAGCAAGTGATGTGATCAGAAGCTCCAAAGTTCTGTAACAGTTGCAGATGTAGTGTTTCTCTGTAAATGCCAATTTTCTTTGCAGTATTTATTTCAGGCAAATTTACTCATTCCCCATTTTCCAATGTTGTCATGGCGAGAGCAATTTCCTAGAAGCACAAAGTAAATGAGCTCTGCTCTTCACAGTTTTCTCTATTTCGTTTTCCAAAGCTGTAAAATAGGAGGGGGGGTCATCAGTGCTGTGAAATCATCTTTATCGTGGCCGCTCACTGGAGCCCAACAGAGGAGCCTCCTCCATCACTCGTAGAGTGTTTCAATGGTTCAGCGTAGTTCGTTACATTTTTAAAAGATTAATCCAGTGAATTGGTTTTAGATCGCAAAGCATTGACTAGTTGGTTTTTTTTGTTCATACGTTTTTATGCTGTATATTAAACGGCGACAGTAACCACACATTCAGGTGTGATGTCTTGTCTTTTGTCCAAATCTTTAGTGAATTGATCATAATGATGCCAATGAAAGCCATCTGCAAATATATCAGAAGACCAAAGACAACAAATCAATAACCAAATGAACATGAGGGAAATCCCAATAAAAAAGTTGGGTAATGATCTTTGGGCTCATTGGGAGTCGTTTCATACTCGTGTGACCGCCGGGCTTAAATAATGTAAACTTTAAAACTCTGAAGCAGAATTGTGACAGGAATCATTTGGGGAAAATACTGCTACTTAATGTCTTTGATCTTATTAAAAAAAACATCTAATAGCACAATTTACCCAAATAGAGCTCAAATGGAATTGATAAAAATGTGAGCTTTAACACTAACATTGCACTTCATAATTCTAATTACTAAAACATATTACCTTTAGTCGTGCAGATTTGACTCGACGTGGATTCACAAACGAACATCTTACCCCAAAGGGAAATGTTCCCCCTTAAGACCTTCTGTCGGCGCTCAGGAACCAAACAAGAGACCGGAGTTATTAGAGAAACGGAGGGAGAGAGAGCAGGAGATGAGGGGAGAGAATTATGGCATCGGCTTTAATGGAACCCTGCGCACACAGGCTGCTTCCGCCGCGATGCCCCCAGGAGACATTTAGTACGAATATGAAGCCATGTGGACACCTGAAAGGACGGGCTGTGTTCTCCCATGAAATGAACTGTACATGATTTAAGGGCTGCAGAATCAGGGAAGTCCTAATATAGTAAATTAAAGCTCGGGGATATTTCCACAACCTGAAACAAGCTGTTAAAATAAGATTCTGAAGCCATTAGTAGATCAGCATCTGCATTAGTCCTGTAAACGATACCCTCCTTGAAGCTGCTCCACACGCTGCGATGTGTGGTTGAACAGTACTTTCCCTTAACAAGCCATCAGTGTCCCATTGAGGTGAAACTGAATCTTCAATGTGCTCGTACAGCGTGACAGTCAGCCTCCTAGTGATGTGACAACACATCCACTGAGGTGTCACCACTAGTGCTGGAAAGCTTTATTACGCTGAAGATGTAGTAACCGTTCCCCTACAGAGTTTTTAAGGACAATAACTGATGACGTAGTACAATGACCAGAGTGAGAGCCCTGAATCCAGTTAAAAACATTAGAAAAGGAGACACGGAGCAGACCCCCGTGAGGCAGATTTCAAGTGATTCCCTAAATAAATCATGGCCTGTAAAACACTCTCAAAAACCAACAAAGACATATTAATGGGCAAGATGTATCGTACAACTAAAATGAAGAATGAAGGTGATGTACTTAGCCGTTGAGTTAAATATTACCAGAGGAGCAGAGTCCCCCCACCAGAATCTTTATTGAACACCATTCAATAACCTTAAATACGAAGGAACACTGCCACTTCAAAGTAATGCTGCTCGTGAAGGAAACCCCCCTTTGACATGACACGGCTCTCCAGCTGGAGTTGGATTGCATGGAGTCTTCCCATTCATCATCTGAGCAGAGCCTCGCGTGAGCGATTTTGCTCAATCAAACCCGTCGGCCTTTGACAGGTAGCCGCGCTTGCTCGGGGATTGAGGACCATGAAGTTTCCCTGAGTGACATCGATGGGGCTCCGTGTCTCACGAATCACTGCTGCTCGTTGCTGTGGTGAATTTATTTACGCAGTCGACGTTTAACCCAACGCACCCACCCATAGATCTCTGCACGTGTTTCCCAACGTGAGCTATGAATTAGGAATCGGACCATCCATAACCGCTTGTTGAAGCGTCTTCCTACACAAGCTGTTATCAGTGGGCCTGATTCTCCCATTAATCTTTACAATCAGCTGATGCAAACATAAGACCATCGCGGAGTTGTGTCACAGCATCAGCTGGCACATCTTCCCATCTCTTCATCTATGCTGTAACAACTATTTATGGACAATCGTCCATCAACTGACTGATGAGGATGATTCACCTCATCATTTATCATCTGTACTCGGTCCGGCTTCTGTGACGCCAGCTGTCGATCACAGCAGTATGTGACACGTTTTGCATTTCTTTTGACTCCTGGCTGGATTTTCTTGGAGTATTGTGTTCAACAGCCAGATTCAGTTTTACTCAGATTGTTGGGTCATTTTTAATTAAATGATATTAGTGCAACACTTTGGGACTCGGGTGACTAATGTAATGTCAAGATAAGTCACTGAGAGTATTAAGTTACTATGGCCCCAGAATGTATTTTTTACCATAAATAAAACATTTCTACTCTCATTCAAGTGGTAAAACTCAACCGCATATGTAAGGAAAAGGTTTTGGGTCAAATCATTTAAATGAATAGAAAACAGCCCTTTCCTTCAATCTAGCAATCAAGTTGGCCTCTCATATTAATTTCATGCTGCAAAGCTGGAACAGATCTAAAGTTGATCTCAAACGGGATGGACAAAGAGAAAGGAGCAGCGCTTCTTCCAGACGCCGCAGTCTGTGGAAACCTGTCCATCTCTCGTCACTGTGACCCGGCTACTGAAGCGTAAATGCCAAAAAAAAAAAAATGTCCAAGAAAAGGTTACTTCCTGATAAATCCATGTTAGAAAAGGGTTCCAGTCTCCACTTACCTGTAAAGCGTATTCACATTAAACATTTGTTTTACTAAACATGCAGGCTCATTACTTACATTGTCATCAAGTTGTGATGTTGATCCACTTCAGCCAATTCAAGCCACAAGGCCAAAAAATAAAAACAATCTCTGCGTTGTCTTGACATTAAGACCCCAATGGTTTTGTGTGGAGTTTCTGTTGATTTAATTAGCAGAGTAAATGACTACCAGTGTGCTGATGCCTATGTAATGACTAAGAGCATGATTTTCCTTGGAGCAATTCATTCATAGGGAACGTGGCTATGCATCCCCGATGGTTTGCCTCTTAAGGATTCTGGTCCTCAGTGCAGCCTGAGCGGTTTGCACGGTTATTAATGAATATTCTAACTTCTTGTGTACATGCAGACCAGAAAACGTAATCCAGTTTGCGTCGAGCGTGCTATTAATAACCACAAGTCATTGTCAAATTTTTATCTGTAATATGTAGCCACTTTTAATTGATTACCTCATTAAAAGCCAGCCCATTACCTCCCATGTGATTTAATTATCCCTATATATTTACTCAGAGGACGCTTTTCAACCCTGATATCGTCTTTGTTCCCCCATGTGTGAAAGCTAAAAGCAATCAAGCGCACTGCTTTCCTGTGACAACACTGCAGAATGATCTGAATGGGGAGACGGAACGAGTGAAGCCAGATCTATACATGACGCCAATCAATTCAAGTCCATGCTTTTGAGCATCGAGTCATTAGTAATGCTGTCCAACAAAAATAACCCCCATGTGGTGAGAAATACGAAGCATCTTAGTAAGACCGACTAGATATTATTGGTTCGTGATCAATCAGGTAAAAAAATGCTTGAGTGTGCATTTGAGTAGCAATTTAAATTGTATAAAGAGGCCATGTAATTTCAACCACAAAGACAAACTTCCCCTTTGTACCAAACAGATTTCGTAAAGCGGATTCCTGAAAGTCACGTTAGCTCATAGTGCCACACTGGTTTATTCCAACGGTGGATATTACATCTTTAGCCAATCCATGTGTGCATGGATGAGAGAGATTTCACGAGGACTAGTTGGTTTCACGAGTCTTCGGCTTTATTAGAACTTTGACAGGACAGTCAGCAGGGAGCCGGCCAGCACCGCACAGAAGGCCACGGTGAAGATTAAACCGTTGAGCAGCCCCTGAGAGGAAAAGACAAGCTCAATGGACAGACGGGTTATTCTTCAGTCAAAAGCACCCAGTTTCTCCCCCCCAATTTCCTCCAGCAACCGTTTACCAAACAAGCGCAGCATCTATTGGAGCCCATTCACAAAGCCTAAGGAGATCGAGACGGCACTTACCTTAATCTCTTTGAACACCAAGGTGCCCCACAGAGCTGAAACCAGACCGTATCCCTACACAGTAAAGAAACAAATATTTGCGCACAAAGCAAGGATTTTTAGTAATAACATTCATACATAGACGACATACTAAAATCCATTTATTGGTTAAATAATTAGGTATGAAAGTACAGCAAGGTTTGGCAATCGCTGTGAGAGCAGGTGAAACGGGTTTTTAAATCGCAGACTCTAAATCCAGTCTCTTCTAAAAACGTTTTTTGGTCCAGCCTCCAACAAGCTGCTGTATTCTGATAAATTGAGCAATACATTCACATGCCCAGTTGCACTTTATCAAAGCCAAAAGTAGATTTTACGCTTCCCATTTTGTATCCAGAGCGACGAACTGGAACGTGCTGAAGAGGAAGTTCCCCATGGAGAAAACTCACATCCATCCAGCCGTCAATCTGGATGAACACAACTGTGCATTCTGTTAATTAAGAATCCGTCTATGTTGCTTTAACAGGCGAGGATAGTGTCATCTTTCCATAAGCTTATGTTGGAATGCATTTAAATTTGGCCCGTTTTAAAATGCAACCGCATTTGCATTTTGTGGAGGATTAGAACAAGGCGACAACCCCCAAAGCTTTGTTAGCAGAAATGCTCATTAGATGGAATGACTTAGTTTTTTTTATATTTTGGAAAATGCGTTAATGTCGACAAATAGATTGAGGGGATAAGGGATGCAGGACGGCATTCGTTTGACCAAAGAAACAGTAAACAAGTTTATCTGGTGAACAAAGTCTGGCTAACGCGCAATTAAAACGGTATCTTGAGTGGCAGCAGAATCTACTTTATGTGCACTGGTAGTCTTAATTGCTGGTCAACATCGTTTCAATTAAGTTTAATGAGTCACCGTTCCCCTGCAGCCCATCAGGGCCATGCTTAGCTGGCAGCTGCAAACATCGGCAGAGCAGCAGGATGAATTGGTCAGTTCAGCAAAGCGCGATTCCTCTGAGAAATGACAACAGTCTCTACAGAAAAGCTTATGGAGTGTTGGAATAACCAATTCCATTTCTCATAAAAGCATCACCACAAATGGAATGCTTTCCGTGTGGATACAATGGAGAAAGGCACTGGTCAAGGGAAAATTGACCAAAATAAGAGGACGGTTGAATTGTTGAATCATTTTTTATCTGGAGGCAGTTTTAAAGCTAGGCGTCATTGGACAGTTTGTTTGCAGAAAGCCACATGGGAAGCAGTGACGGCACACTGTGGAAATGAGTCCTTTGAAAACATTTGCCAGTTAATGGGATATATCGCCTGTCAAAACTCCTCGGGAAGCCAGTCACGAGAAGAGGCGTCTGTCATTAAATACTGTATAACTGATGTTCTCGCAACATCTAAAACGACTTTCATTGCGGTTTTGATTGATGTGTCGAGTCGCACTCGCGTTAAGCTCCCCCCCGACTTACCGAACACAAACACATTAGCATTCACCTTCTCAAACGCTCAGTGCAAGCGGTGATAAATGTGCAGTATTAAGATTTCACAGCTCATGACATACTTACTGCTCGGACAACAGGAAAGGTAATGACCGCACTCATGTGGTTACTGGCCAGGAACCAACAGTATGTGGCTAATGACCACATCAGTCCAGATAATAGACCTGAAGAGCAGACATGGGTTTAAATGTCAAGTACAATGCACAGCAGATAAACAAAAAACAGGCACATACAAATCAGATGAAGTAACCCAAGTAAAATGTAGATTTTCCTCAAATGCATGCCAGCTTTTGGGCTAGAGTCAACATGTTTACTGATGATCTAACCATCCCCATGGTGTAACCCCCCCCCCCCCCCTTGTTGTTAGGGGGTTACTTTTTGCATTGATCTTAGTTGATTCCAATCCCCCGATTGGGAACCATTAGTACGACTCAGTGGAGAGTTGCTCAGGATGCAGTGACTCCCCTCAGGGTAAAACAGGAAAACATTAAAAAGCTGCGCAGACGCCGAACTGAAGGAGTCTTATGTAGCATGAATATGATGAAGTGTGGGTTACCTGGTAGGATGACTCGGGAGTAGACCCTGGGCCTGTTATTCATGACAGCACAATAGATGGCAAAGTACACCGTGCTCGCAACAAAAATGCCAGAGCACTGCGCATGAATATAGTCGAGGTCTGTGAAGAAGTTGAAATAAGAATTTGTAGCTTTGTGCTTATCCCGCTACTTTTATGAAACGACTAAAAAAAAGTCAATATCTTCCCATTGCAGTTTAGAGGTCAATGCTCACAGTCAACGTTAAAGCTAGAATAAAAACCTTATTAAAAAGTGAGGTCAGTCATGGAACCCTCACAACTTACCATAGTCGCTGGCTCCATGGAACATGCTGTCCCCGCACGAGGAATGGCTCTTAATGTAAAGGATGGGCGCAAAGGAGGACCCGAACATCAGGCCCGCCATCACAGCCAGCAGGCAGCCGCTGAGCGACACAGAGGACGGATTATAAAACTCCAGACGCATCGTTGAATTTCACCAAGGCATACCAAATCGGTTTAGAACATGTACACACCTATTAAATGTGTAGCAAACTATTTAAACGTCAATGACAGTGCTTAATTACTACACCACTCATAACCTTTTTAAAAAAATAAATAAACTGCCTTCATTTAATGAGTTTTACTTACTTTTTACTTATTGATCCCTTCATGAGAGTCAATAGCGTTAGAAGGCTAACTGTACATTAACTCAAAAAGACAGAAAAGCTAAGAGACAAATCCCGCTACACATTTCAATCCAACGCCACTGTAGAAACTAAGGCCTCTGATAAAAGCCATCATTTAATATTCTAGTCGTGTTCCTATGCAGAACATTTCGATTGATGACTAATCCATATTTCATAAAACTTGTGTGCGTGTAGCTTGCAAGACCAATAAATCTGACTTTTAATGAGTTAAGCTCACATGAAGCGTCTGGTTCTCAGTCCGACGACGTCCATCCAGAACTCTGAGGAACTTTGACCATAGCTGCAGGAATTTGATCTCTGCAAGGAAAGGAAATACAAAGTTATGTTGTCCATTAAAGCAACGGCAGCATCAGAAGAAACAAACCAAAAAAAAAAGTGGCCGGAATTGATTGTCCTTTGGAGAAAATTGCCAATTCACGTTGGTTTGAGTGAAGTCAGCGATGACAAAAATGGTTTGTACTCACTCTGTCAAGAAGCAATGGAATCGATTCAGAGTTGGGATGCAGCGCCACGTCCGCCTTCACAAAGAAGAACAGCAGACCACTGGAACAAACAAAGAGCTAATCGCTCATCCAAAATAGAACTCAAAATCAGACACCATCACCTTTCTGAAGAAGGAAGATTGCAGCGTTTACCTGAACAGACACAAGCCAGCTCCACAATAATTTAACATCGGCCTGGGAACATCGTCAGGACTTCCAAACCAGCCAAACCTGTGAAAGACGATCAGTTTCTTGTGAATATATTGACGTATTCAAATGATCCCGTGATTGAGATCTCAAAGCAAAGTAATTTGTTCAAAATAAAAACCGCAAAAATCTTTACTACATCCGAACAGAACAGCGTTTGTGGAGAAATCGTGCTCGTCGTCACCTCTTACAACTACTCGTGTGATCAACTACTGATATTCGCAAAATCGTACTGCACATGAAGACCAAAGAGTCCACCTACCCGTGAACTCTGATCAAACAGCAAAACTAAGCAGAGCTGCTAAACTCTGAATCAATAGTCTGTGGGTGCGTTTACGCTTTTTGCCTTGAAATGAGGCCGTGCCGTTTAACCGTGAAATTAAAAAGTTTATATTCAGCTAAGCTGCACCCTGGCCGCATGGAAAAAGGAGCCTTCTGTTTGATCCGTTCACAGGATCACAAGCTAATTGACAGCTGCGTTGAGACTCCTCATCTGGAAGTATCACCACAATCTCCTCGTTAAAGGTTAGTTATCTTTGCATATAAATACCCACAAAAGGGAAACTTCTCCATTCTGGATTAAGGAGCGTAGGTTAATCTGACTCACCTGGAACTGGCCCATCCGATCAGCAAACTTGAAGAGCCCCAAAGCACGCTGCCAAGGCCGAGGCCAATTGCTTTGACAACTGGAACAGCCGCTATGTTCCCTGTCAATGCCATGGGAGAAAAAGTTAACATGTACGTCTCAAAGATATGATGACAAGGTCAATAGAATCAGCAGCGGCAAAGACAGGTTCTCGGCATATTTTATCCACGTTACAGTTGAATATACGGTTCAGCAATGTATCCACCGGATAAAATTGTAAGAGTTGTACAAAAGGAAGAGTCTGAAGATCGGCATCCCACAGGAACGGCATGAACACATTGGTTTAAGATGGATTTTTAATTAAGAGGTTCTACGGCAGATGGAGCGTAGACGTCTCAAAGTCCATCGGCTGGCGTCAGGCATCCACACGTGGAGAATTGCAATGAGACTGACCTACGTCAGAAAACAGCACAGACAATTTGGGTTTGGTGTTCTGCTTCATGAGAAATTACCTGTGGCCCAGATGGCACCTCCAACCATCACAAAAGGGTAAAATTTGGGCGACTGAAGTATCAAGTCTGCAACCATAGATATGACCCATATTGATGCGCAGTACACCCACTGAAAGAACATACCTGGAACAACACAGACACCTTATCACAAAAGGCCAAGAAAACACCACCAGGTCACAAGGTCAACATCTATATAAATATACTTTAAGAGTGCTGTAGGATTACCATCGCCTGTCTCTATTCTTTTTATTGGAACCAAGTTGCTTCCGTACAACAGTGACGCAACCACATTGGCAGCAATTCCGTAGCCCAGATTAGTCATGTTGGTGGAGTTGATGCGGAACTCAAATGTTTCCAAGTCGCCAACACCGGCATTTTCACCCAGTTTCACACCTGGAAAATTTTAAAGCAAAACAAAAAAATTCCAGTGTTGTTGGTTTTGGCTAACACACCAGCTGCAGTGTGTTAGCTTCCCACTCACACTCTCACACACACACAAATGATCCCCTACCTTCATCAGCAGAAGGTTCAGCGCGATGGCAGCTCACCACCAGCAGCGTGGTAACAAATAAAAGCAGAGGTGGGCATTTTGCGTCATGCATATTAAAATAAATGTTTGTTTTGTGCAAGGTGGCTGGTGCACAGTGTTAAAAGCAGCTCCAGGGTGTCAGCAGTGGGGGGGGGAGTGACACTCGGCCAGGTGCCGCCAATTATCCAATCACTCAATCTGACGCGTAACGCTGCAGTGGAGACAGGATAACCGGGAGCGGGAGTCATGGAAATGCATCAGAGGTTGTGGGTCTAATGAGGGTATAATATTAAATGTGATGAGATGCTGAAAAATTCCAACATGTATTTTAGATAAATATAAAAATAAGTAATAATCCCAATATATAGTAAATATTTATAATATATAAAATAGTGGAAGGCGGCTATGTGCATTAAGTACTGTTCTAAAGAGGAATTTTAAGAAACTTGCATACTTAATTTGAAGTAGAGATTAAAATGTAGATCTAACCTGCAGCACATACAGAACAAGGCTTTGTTTTACCAACCTCACATTAACGCATCAACATGTATAGTCCACTCATATGACGTAGGCTACATATTATGTCTGTGTAATTGGACATTCTGCATACTGAATTAAATGGCTCCTTTAAATAAATTATTTAGTATTTTTACACAATGAGACTGGATACTTCCTGCAGCTCTGCATGTCTAAAGACTAGTTAGCCTGACAGCGCTGTTTACACCATCGTTTATTTTTAGAAGCGTTGTTATTTGGGTCAGGAAATCCTGTAATGGAAACATCCATCCTTCACTTCCAGCACTCAAGAGGAAATATTAGTTTCCATCTTTTAACTGTTTCCTTTTCACATTTTGTAGTCCGCATTTAGAATAAAGTACCAGCAGATGTCGCCTGAAACGCGTTCATGCCCAAATATTCTGTGCAAATTTCAATAATGGCATAAAAGCTCTGTATTTTGATGTAAACAAACAATATCACCGTTACGTCAAATGTGCGTTAGACAATTATCCGCTTTTGTTAAGATTTCTATTATGTAAAAATGTGTTTATAGTAACTTGATTTGGTACTTTTTAATAACTTCCTTCATTTGTTATCGTTTTTAGGCTGATGCAAAAAACAACATGCCGTATATGTTGCCATTGATTGTACGGATAAGACATGAGAACAGCTTTCTGTCCATCCCCTAAACGCGCCCTCCCATCCAAAAGGAGTTCTGGGAGCTCCGCGCTCCTCCCAGGTTTGGGTTTCACTCAACAAAGACTGCCAACCATGAAAATAACATAAATTCTAATGGGGAAGTCTCTTTTTCACTGGCTGTTACTCCCTTGTGTGAGACTGAGCAGTAGCTTCCGGAGATGCGCTCTTTCCAACAGGACTTTGATCATCGCGAGCGCGTGCGCGCTTTATTTGTTGGTGGTGGTTTCACACCTCGGACACTCCGGGAAGCTCCGGCACGGAAGCACCGGGAGAGAGAAGTACCGGCACATCCGTGGATTGTATAATCTGGATGTTACAGCCTCTGAGGATTTTAAGATCGGAGCGAGTTTTGCGCTCCCGACACGCTCCAACGTGGTCTACATAACGCTGAAGTCCAAGCGCGTAAAACCGGCACACATCCGGGGTACAATCAGACCCAAACTGAGGAGAAAAGTGAGGAGGAATCAAGATGAACAATATGCTCATTTTACGCGGAGCAAACTTGGCCCTTTGGAGAGGGACCCAGGCCCAAATACGCGCCACTTTTCCTCCAACACCTCGCGGGGGGAAACCGGGGATGTGTTTCGCAAATCCTTGGCGGTAATTCATGCATCTCTCACGCACGCACAGGCAGACTCTCCCGTCAGCTCTATACGGATATACAGCCAGAAGGCGCCGCCCTGGCTCAGCGCACGGGACGTGGAGGCCATGCGCTTTCTGGCGGATGCCAAAGTTTTGCGCGTCAAAGAAGTTTCTCGCGGAGACTCTCCGTCACTTCTGGTCTTCGTGGGCAAGGGGAGCGTTTCAGGGAGCGACCTGAAACGGGTTGCACCGCGGAGCAGCGTGTGTGGAGGGGAGTGTGGAGTCATCAGCAGCCCCGTGGACACCACGCAGGTCTTTGCCTTCCATCTGGACAGGGTGCTCGGGTTCAACAGGACATTGCCAGCCGTGAGCAGACGGTTCGACTTCTTACATGGTACGTCCACACAGACACCAGGAGCGAGTGCCTTGTCTGCTGACTGAAGCACAGAGATATCTGAGGAGAATAAATGTCACTTTCTAATGTCTTTAATGCATTTTGCAAATAAAGCCATTGAAATGTAGACTTGTATAAAAGGTGTTATTACCCTTGAGTCTCAATTCCAGGGTCAAATTAAAAGAAACATCCTTTAAAAGAAGTGCTGGGGAGTCTGTGGTGAGAGAGAATGACCCTGAAGATCCAACAGCACGTGCTGGACGCTTGTCAGTAGCCTAAAATATGAGTCAGTAAAGAAATATGCAAAGCCAAACATATTTCCATGGCAGAAGTTTAAGGTGTTAAACTTCTTTCTTTCTACTGACGGATCATGAATTGCTCTGTAAGCTTTCCCTGGATGAAACAAGTCTATCTGCCCTCTGCAGACGGCCAGCCCTGTCCAGTGGGGTCGTGGGACGCATCCCTCCTCCCAGAAGGCCGTGCTGCCGGCCGGCCCACCGGGAGGTTAACGTGGGCCGAGTACCAGCGCTCCCTGAAGCAGAGATGCTGGCATAAAAACATCCGCCCAAAGTCGGACTCCGGCTGCCTCCCAGTTCATCACCTCGAGTGGAGCAAACTGGCTCTGTTCGACTTCCTGCTGCAGGTAACGGAGGCTGCTTCAAAATGAAAGACCGATTCATCAATTCAACACTTCAAAAGTACTTCAGCAACTTTCCTGTCCTTCTGTTTAACTTTGTGCAGTTGCTCCACAAATGCTTTTCTAAATTAATTTTGCAAACATTGTTTTTGGGCCAAACAGACAGTCTTGTTTCCTGTGTGGAAGACCCGGATCTCTCATCAGATTTTGGCTTTGATGAAATAAGAATTGTTTAAAGTCAAAATGGCCAAATTTTTATGTTCGAAATAAAAATGGTTTGCGGTGACTTTGTTGCTGACTCACCTAAACAAAAAACATATATTTAAAGTCTTATAACAAGGGACACTGAGTTAGGGGGCTTACAGTGGTATTTGATTGACAGATGGGAGGCGTTTTAGCCAGTATTTAATGCCCCTGTGGACGCTCCTCAGCCGGAGTTAGTGAGTGGAATTTAATCCTGTCTTCCAAAGTCCCATCTGAAATCTATGAGTGACATCTTTTGCTTGTTTTTCCTCCTGAAACAGCCGCCAGTGAAGTGTTGTAGTGCGGAGAGAGTGCCGGAGGGGTTGAAGCCGTGCGGGATTGTGGGTTCCCAGTCCTTGTTGAGGAAGGAGGGGTAATAGATTAAGAAAAATCAGCGCTGCTGTCATCTCCCCCTGAGGGACGCTTAGAACTAAACAAATGAATAATAATCAGGCCAAAGACGCGCTGGAGAAAAAGCCTTCTGGATGTGTCACAGAGTTGCAGATATGAAACAATATGAACCTTCTCTTCCAGATTCACAACCGCCTGGATCCGAGCTGCTGTGGATTCAGGCCCAGGCGGGAGGACGTGTGCGTGCAGCTCGGCCATGGCGCCGAATGCGGGGACCAAAACCACATACAATTGACCACCATCATCCACAGGGGTCACGACCCCGGACACCTGGTCTTCACCGACAACAAGGGGTTCTTCGACCGCAACGAGGACAACCTGGACTTCAGGCTGCTGGAGGGAATCAAAGAGTAAGTACAACAAATCCAAATCCAGCTTCTAAAGCTGATTTTGATATCTGAAGGAATGTGTATTGAATCTCAGCAATGCTTGTTCAGCAACTTAGAAATGATGGTTTTGCACACACAGCATATTTTTTACAAATACGATGATGATCATCATGATCATTTTATGCTTTATAATCTTACAAAAGATTAAAATCTGTGGCTTCTACTGTGCCAAATAAAGCTATTAAGGCCTCAGATGTTTCTGCTATTGCTGCTATTATTATTATTATGACGCTGCAAGATGAAAGGAATTCAATACCTGGTCTTTAGTTAGTTTTATCTCTTTGAGTTTTATCAAAGTAAAAAACCAGCAGACTTGACATTTCAATCCTGGCAAATTCCAAACTGGCATCTACAACATGCCGAGTCACTGTTTACTGGAACTTCTGAGCAGCTTGAAAACCCAAACAAAAAGCACTCAGCAGCCTCGCCGTGGCTCTTCTCCAGACATCCAAGTGCTCGTCCCCACGCCCTCTATCTCATGGTTTTTCATTTAAGACATACAATTTTAGACAGCAAGTACACCGAAGTTAATTCCCATCGTTCTCCATCTTTGCTCTGCGGGCTCAGTTACCTGCCACGTTCAGCATGCCGGTTCACCACCTTTAGCTGTTATAGAAGCGCCACTTCGCCCATTTAGAATCGATCAAACTGTGGCCCTGCCTCGGAGACGTGCGCCTGAAACCGAGACTGATTACTCTGGTTCTTCCCGACTCTCCAGACTCCCAGAGCCGGCCGTGTTGGTGCTGAAGAACAGGAGACTGAGGGAGAGGCTCCTCCAGTCTCTGTTCCTGGACCAGACGTACTGGGAGAGCCAAGGCGGCCGGCGGGGCGTCGACAAGCTCATCGATGTAATTGAGAGGCGAGCCAAGGTCCTCCTCACCTACATCGATGCTCATGGGATCAAAAGTGTGAATGAGTGACGAGAGTTCAAGTCGTCTCATTGACGCGACCTTGATCCTCTTACAGGACACCAGAGCTAAGTTCTCTTACGATTTATAAACGGCTCTGGAGGAAAAACAACTCATCAGCTATGAGTCAGTTCTTTTACATCAACTATCTCAAGAGCATGCCGACGTAATGCAAGTCAAGTAAAACTGGTAAAATTAACCAGATGATTTAATAAATATCGACTTTTTCTCTAAAGATTTGGTCTGAATGCTGATTAACACATTGCTAATGAACAACTATAAATAGCTCACTATCCTTTCAAAACATCCTCAATTATGTTGATGATCACTGGATAATATAAAGCCAAATTTGTATTAACGGAAAAGTCAGTTGCATAAAAGTGACACTAGATAGAGACGCTAGGGTTTAAAACCATCGAGGCAAAAATATTTCTTCCCCTGGAAATATACTTCCATTGTTGTGTAGACAATGTGCTGCAGTTCGTACGTTCCTCCTCCTGAGGCCTTGTATTAAATGGAATGTGCTGCGGGAATGACAGGAAGCTTTTGATTAACGTCGCCTTCGTCGCCGCAACCCGGATCCAGTCTGCTCGCTCCGGGTCACATATTAACTGACTTTTCCATATTCATTTGATACAAGAAGTCTTCATGAAGTTTTCATCACTACTTATTATATTGAGTATTTCATTATGGAAACTGCTTTGCATTCTGTCTGTACTTTAAGTTAAGAACGTTAAGATGAGCCTGGTGGGCTTATTCTGTTTCATATGTGCTCTGACTCTTAATCTAATTCCCTAAAGCAGTCCCCATTTTCATGTGTTTATTCATTTTTTTTTTTATCTTCCTCTTCATCCGTCAAGTATTTCAGCTTTGATTTACCAATTTGAATGAAATTAGCACAATTTTTATTTGTTGATTGCCAATTTTGGCTTATAGTGACTTTTGGCTTGGCAACACTTATCAGTCCCTACGTTACTATAAATATATATAACACTTGGCGCTTAATATCTCTGAAATAACAAACCCAGCAACAAGTTAATTACATACAATACACAAGTCGACATAAAATGGATGAGCAGAGATGTTTTGTGGTCTCATGTCTACTCAGTATCTGTCAGGTACACAAATAGTGTGTGCGTCCTTTATTGACCGTGTGTCTGGTTTGAATGCACATAATCGACATTGTCAGCCCAGAGGGGGAGCTTGGTATTTCCAATGTATCTCCATCTTTCTGAGTCTTTCTGAGTCAGCAGTCGTCTCACCTTTGTCACAAAGTTGGATTTGTGGAAATTCTAAGAAGAACTGTTTCTCTTTTCCTCGTTACAGGGTCGGCATTTTCATTCTTGTGTCTCCGCTTTTCTTCTTCTTCTCCCTTCACGGCCTCTTCTGACCCCAAGTTAAGTTTTACATTTTAGCTCTTTTTCCTTGTTTCTCACGGAGTGAATAAGTTGGGATCTTGGGGGAATAACTGGAGGAGAATAGTTTGGGGCCGTTGTTCTCAGCTGTTCCCAGCTGGCTGCTGCCTTGGTCGCAGACAGAGGAGCTCTTTGTTCTTGTAACCTCAGCTGAAAAATCATTTCTTTTTACCATGATGTCACTGCCTGCACTGACCTTCAACGAACTCTGAAACATAAAAATAAAAAAACAAGCAAACCATGCTCCTGTGACTTCATTTTTTATGGCATTTATAAACTGTGCCTTGACTTTGCTTTCTACATTCGCAGCCGGACAAAGTGCTTCACACATTATTAGCATCAGCTGATCTCAACTTCAGTACCCAGCGAACATTTAACAGAATGTCAGCAAAGTTTCAGGTAATTAGTCATCTTGTTCCGACAAAAAACGATTAATGAAAACAAGTTTGTGCAGCTGGATTCCCCCGAGCCAACACACTGCCGACTATCAACTCACAAATACGAGAGAGAGACCGACGTTCTCACCTAAGGGGGAAGCACAGAAACAATAAGAAATCGTCCTCCGCTAAAATGTGTCACCTGTGTAAACACACCCAACCGCAAACATCCCTCTGCCAAGAGTCTGTAGGAGTGTTTCAACAACGCGCCACCTGGGTGGTCACCGCCGGGACGCCACGGAGCCACGTTGCACGGGAATGAAGAACCAGAGGGATTCGTCCTTGGTCCCCTGTGACACTGCTGGAGCGCAAGATGTCCCTGCGGTGACAGCGAGAGACGTTCGAGGCGCGTCTTGGAGGAGACATTGAGAGAATTTCAACTCGTCACAGGAAGTCGTGTCAAAGCTCGCTTCTTTCACTAAACGGCCACGTCTTCCGTAGACGAATGCAATAAAAAGTCGGATGGAATCAGGGTGCAGAATGAGTAATGTCTTTTTTGACGACTACCAGCGTCATGGAGGGACACTTTTTTGCAGGCGTGGCATGCTACCAGAATTTTGTAATCTTGTCCTCAAGCAAATTTGAGGGGAATTTAACTCAAACAACTTCTATTCTTAAAGAATATTTCGATTCAGAGCAAGATGGTTGTTTGTTTCACCTTTATTCCAAACAGCTGATTCTGACTCTGCGCTTTAAACGGAATTATCCCACCAAAAGATTAAAACTACAGCTCGAAGCCCTGAAGGCCTTCTGTCAGGTAAGAATCCCGCCATGTGAAACAGTGTCGCCAGAGGCAGCGTAAGGACACTTGGTAATCTTTAAAAGCTGATTTAACGAAAGCAGTGGGTTGAGAATAAATTCAACCCGAGAACTGACACAGTCGGATTCGATTTAGAGGATTTTCATTTTTAAACAGCATGAAAGTCTATGCTTTATGCGGAATGAGATGTATGTGAAGAGGTGAAGGTTAATGGCTCAAGGCTCCACTTTGACGGACCAAGATCAAGGCGAGTGAGCGGCTTCGCTTCGCACAGTGAGCTGTTTGATCACTTCCGACCACACCGACCTCAATATTTCCCAACTGTACTTACGTTTAATCTGTCCGATTCCTGGAGGTCTCAATGGCCGTCAGTGGGGCCAACGGCTGTTAACCCCGAACAAGCAAACGCATTGGCTGAATTCATTGTGAAAGATGCAAATTAAAAGTTGTTTAATTAAAAAGTTGTTGCTTAAAAGTTTTCACTTTCTGGACGGAGGGATAATAAATATAGTGGCAGGACAATATAAAACCCTTCAAAAGGCAGTGGGCTGCAGTCTCCTCACCTTCGGAGCACTGTTTCTCCAATAACAATAGTATTTCGTGATAATAGACCACGCCGTGTGCAGTCTCTCCTCAGGGTTTTACCGATCACGGGGAGAGAAGAACCTCCTAAACCCAAGTTGAGTCGTCCAAAGCCGCCGCCGCGCCGCATTAAAGGGATGAGAGCTCAAGCCAAAAAGCCGCGCGACGCGTCTCCACGGGCTGGCATCTCAAACACATGTTTGAAGGAGATATACGAGGCAATCAAACAGTTTGGGGCCCGATTCTATATTTAGAGAGGCGAGAGGTGTGGCATGTGAGCCACGCGGCAGGCTGTGAACGAGAGCCTTTCAGGGTGACTGATGGAATGATTACAGGCCGGAGCCGACGTGCCACATGACGGGAACATTTCTCCTTTTTTTCCCAGTACAACCTGATTAAGAGAGAAACACAATCACGTACAATCGTAATCACACGCGTGTCGTTGCGGTGCAGAGAAAATGAGCACAGATGTGGACCAAGAAGAGGGGGGGACAAAAAAAAACACATTACGTGGTAAATGTCACACCTTGCGGCACACTCCTTTATTTAGCCGACACGAGCGCGTGCAGCCAGCGGCCGGAGGTGTGGACGGCCTGAAGAGAGGAGACGACTAACATTCCTCAGCGTCTCCATTCCTGACTCGTCTATCTGAGGTCTGAACGGTCCCAGCAGCAGTGCTTTGAACTTGGCTCAGCCTCTCGTGAGCTATAGAAAGATCTGAAGTCGTGGAGGAGGCCTTTGCGGCGTATTCCTCGCCAGGCAGGGGAAATAAACGTGTGCCACTGCAGGGAGTATCAGAGATTACATCCTGCTCTCTGACTTTTTGAACAACGACACGCTGACTCGGCCCACGTGAACATCCTGCTCGTATAACAATACACAGCGGGCGGGAATCTAAATGTGTGTCAATGGCAGCAACATCTTAATCATGTTTGTTTCCACGCTGATAATTTCCTTTTTACAGGTCTGTTGTGATCACTGCTACCTCCCCCTCAATGAGTACATCTTTGCTTGTGCAAACAGAGTGTGCCTCACGTTCAATCTGGATATAACATCTGCAATAGTTTTCAATCTGCTGATATTTATTTTTCATTTTTCTAATATTTGCATGTACGCAGAACTACGCAGTAAAGTCCTGCTGTGCACAGATGAGAAGCTTTGTGCATGCAGACTGTGTCGGTTCTGCAAACAACGACGACTCGACTGCTTTGAAAGGAAACGATGAATGAGATGCCTGATCACACTTGGTGGTGGAGATGCAAATCAACAGGAGTTGACACTTTATTTCTCAGTTCGGGCTCTTTTCGAGGGAGTGAATCAAGACTGGTCTGAGAAGAAGGTATCAAACATCATTACATCTCTGGCCCTCTGTGACGTTGGGACCTCCAACTCGAGCTGGAAATTAAAACCTTATTATTTTGTTTGTTTTGTTTTTCAGGAAGCACATGTGCTTCACGGAGCAGATGAATTCTTTTGATAATTTGATGGAATACATTTTCCGCCGCAATGTCTGGCTTCCTATTTTAATCTTCCGCTTCATATGAGTCTTCTGATGGGCTTCTGATGGGCTTCCCGTCTTCATCCCTTGTGAGGAAAAGAGAGGAACGAATGCGTCACCACTGTGGCGAAGAAGGCAACACTCCAAACTGAATCTCACCCGTTCCTGCAGGAATCCAAACAGGAAGGGCCCGGCTCCGGCTGGGCCGCCAAGCAGAGGAAATGACTGGGATCAGAGATCAAAAGAGTGGACTCACAAACAGCGGCTGACGGAAAGTTACTGTGAAAGGACAATTTTTACTGTTTGAATACCTTCGTACCTTTCCGATGTTGGTAATTAGTTTATTTTGGCCTCACAGCGCATGTCCTCGTATGGCCTCTGAGGCCCCGTGACACCAGACTCTAAGGTGTCCCAAAGCAGCTGTTAGCTAATGTGCTCCCAGATGCTGCCAGAACTGAGGTTCCACACAAGTGTTAAAATCATTGAGGCAAGGCAATTTTATTTGTACAGCACGTTTAAGCAACAAGGCAATTCAAGCTGATGTGATCCACTTTCCTGGTGTTAGTGAGGACTCCAGCTGCAGCGTTCTGCATCAGCTGTAGCTCCTTTTCACACAGACACGTAAACACACCATCACAGTAGAGAGTCCACTGAAGATAAATGCATGGAAACGTTTTCACAAACCTCCTCTGCTCCTTGATGTATTCTTCAGGTGATAGGAGGCAGATTCTGTGACTGTCTTGATGTGATTGTACAGGTTGAGGTCCGGATTCATCAGTGATTGAAGCTCAGTGCCGACTTTCAATCGTTCATCCTTGTTTCCAAAAACAATTACTTCTGCTTTTTCTTTGTTTAATTGAAAACAGTTTTGGCACATCCAGTTGTTCATTTGTTCAATTCTTTTAAACAGTTTTTAATTAAACATAAACTTGACACACACCATATTACTTCTGATGTTTTTTTTTTAAATATTTTTTACGAGGAATACTGTTAATATGGTGATGATTTAGTTAGTGTATTAGTCTTACTTTATGGTGGTTGTATTTTTTACAAATTCAAGATGTCATATTATGAACTTGTCAAAGTCGATTCAGGAGCAGAGAATGTTTGCAGCTCTGGAGTTCTGAGTTGTCGGGTCATTAAAAAAAATAAAAAATACTCTTCCGCCCTCTAGTGGCTCCTTCATAAAAGCACAATGAGAAAAAAGTTTGGGTAACATCAGATAATGTTGGAATTATTATTTAATACAATTTATTTGATTTGAAACACTGTGGTGATTTGCTGTGCCTGTGGCGTGATGTGCAAATAAAGAGCTTTTATGGATTTACGCACATCTCCAAAAAGTGTTTTTCAATAGCAGTATTAGTTATTTTGGAAGGAAAAGGCCAAAGCCAGTTTTTTTAAGTAATGTTACTCAATCACAGAATGAATATAAATATTGAGATACATACGTATTATGGACATATTATGGACAAAATATCCTCAAACACTAATGATGTTATTAACATTTTTAACTTAATTTCTTTCATATTGGAGCAGAAATCAAACATTTGTGATTAATTGAAATGTATTGGACGTGCGTGCCAATGCAAAGGATCGTTGTACCGTACATGGATGAGAACGGGATCACAGACAAGAGATCAGGCCGTCGCTATGTGTGCTGTACTCTGTGCACACGAAGGGGGAGCAGCAGCTTTACAAATGAAGGGTGCGCTTACAGTTTGGACACATCCAGCCACTCTTCACTCTTATTTGCGGTTACCAGGGCGATGGAAACCTTTTTCACACCTGTTGGATTTCTCACAAACAGTTGTGACATCATTTTGTTATTATAAATTTGTCTGGCGGCTCTGGTAAATTAAGCTTTTCTGAGGCCTCGATCACGACACATTTTGTGACAGAACAATGACCTAATAATCATATACTATGTAAGTATCATATCTTCTAGAAATAGAATGTTGATGAC